AAGGGGCTGCCCAGGGAAGGGGTCGAGTCCCCAGCCCTGGGGGGATTTAACAGCCGGGCAGTTGTGGTGGGATGGCCGGGTTAGGGGAGTGGTTGGGCTTGATGAGCTTAAAGGGCTTTTCCAACCTCAACTATTCTATGATTCTCTATCTTCTCTGAGACACGCATTTTTCTCTCTAATGCTGCCCAAATCTGTAACAGCGAGACAATAAATCCATGCTCTTGAGCTTGTAAAATGTACCAACCCAGACTGGAGCCACCCCTTGGGAAGGTGCAGTTGGGGAAATCCCCAGCGAGATGCATCTGTGCCACCCCAGGTGCCAACCCTCTGCCTGCCTTACACACCCTCCCAGGACTAGCCATGGTTTGGCTCTTGTTTAGGTTTTTGCAGCACATGTTGTGTGTGTGTGGGGGAAATAATTAAAAGAAAGAGCTTAATGAAGGCTTGATGGTCTCGTTTCTTAAAAACCCAGCAGGCTGGACCTCCCTCTTGCACTGCTCCAGCTATGGTCACTATATCACACTTTGCATTTTAAGGGAGGGAAAAAAAAAAAAAAAAGAACTCCATGAAAACCAAACACAGTTTGCTATTAAAACTTACATTTTTTAGAGCGGAAGCACCAGAGATCTGAGAGCCCAATCCCCAGCGTACCTGAGTAGAGATCATCCTGAGTTCTTAGGAGAAAAGGAATGAAGAGCAACTTGAAGTAGACAAAGAGAGAGAGCAACACCCTCCAGCCCGTCAGCCCTCTCCGTGGCCACAGATGATCAGCCAGAGGTCAGTCAACCAGTTCACAAGTGGGAGCAGGGGAAACCCATCCTCAAGACGAGCTGTTGCATGAGCTGCCACCATCCCTCCTACCCTGAGACAGACTCTTCAACCACCGGTACCTTCGGATTTGCCTTAGGATCATTTTTGAATATATCCAAGGATGGAGACTCCACCACTTCTCTGGGCAACCTCTGCCAGGGCTTGTGACCAACATGGTGAAGATGTTCAGAGGGCTTGTGACCAACATGGTGAAGATGTTCAGAGGGAACCTCAAGTGTTTCAGTTTGTGCCTCTGGTCCTGGTCACCTCGGAGAAGATCCGGGCTCACTCTTCTTTGTATCTCCCCTTCAGATATTTATAGACATTGAGCAGATCCCTCCTGAGCCTTCTCCAGGCTGAACAAGTCCCAGCTCTCTCGGCCCTTCCTCATGGGAGAGATGCTCCAGTCCCTTCATCAGCTTCGTGGCCTTTTGTTGGATTCTTGTCCTCTCATACTGGGAAGCCCAAAACTGGACCCAGTACTCCAGGTGTGGCCTTATCAGCGCTGAGCAGAGGGGAAGGAACCCCTCCCTTGACCTGCTGGCAACACTTCTCCAAACGCAGCCCAGGACATTGGTTCGCCTTCTCTACCATGAGGACACATTGCTGCCTCGTGGTTACCTTCATGTTGAGGCCCAAATGCTCAGCAAGGACATTTGGAAGCTGAATTGGCCAAGTGTTGCTCTCAAAACATGAACTGTGAGTTAACAATCTGGGTTCATGACACACCGCTGTCCTTTGTAGCCACCACACACAGAAATAAGGGACAGACCAGAAAGCTGACAGGGCCATCAAGCCATTGAGGACCCTGTTAGCATCACAACCCTGCTGCCAGCAAAGAAGGTCCTAAACCATGTTTAACCCATGGCCCAAGCCAACAGGAGGGATACAAAGCTACAGGCTGCATATTACAATTACTGCACCCTGCGTTACAGAAGAAAAAAATAGAGGAGGAGGAAGATTACAGCTGCACATCCAGGGCTCCCAGTTGCGTCCCTTAAGGTTTTGGTGTCCTGTCAGTGCAATCTGGAATCTGGGCAACCCAGTTCATCACCTTGACTCCCTTAACAGATTCCCACGGGGAATGACAGCATGTGCTTAATGGCAGAGAACCCCCCAGTTTGCAAATTTAAGTTGAACTTGAGGAATACCTTAAGCCTTACTGCGGTCGCAGCAGAAAATCCAAGAGCGCTCCTTTTTTTCCATTTTTGCCCTTGGAATTCTGTTACTGGTCTTCGGCACAGATCTCAGAAGATGGGACAGTAAGTGCTAGAAGTGAGGTTATTCACCCAATTGTGTAGCAATAGCGCAGCCTTTGCACAAAAAGAGTCAGCGTAATGAGCTCACACGCTGGTCCTCTGCTCCATCTTCCAGTTTTGTTCTTATATGTATTTTTAAAGCCTATTTGCAGCTCAAGACATCCAATTCATCTCATGGTTGAAAATAAGGGATGGTGGGTAAAAGTGCTCAGGTATTAGCGCTGGATAAGGGATGCGCAGACAATTCAGGGACCCAGAATTAGGTGTGGGGTGGCATCCCTGACCTCAAGAAAAACCCTTGTCCTGACCCATCTCTTAACCACACTGGTGCAGGCTCATGCCTCCTGTTTTCTCATTCCGCAAGTCCACGTGAGGATGCCTTCCGCAGGGCAAGGCTGTGGTTTTCTTGTGCTCCTTGCAAACCTGAGGATAACTGCTCATGTTTTGATGAGATGCTGGTCCTCAGCTTTGGAGGGAAGGGCTGGCAGGGAGAAAAGGATGTTGGGGAGGACTCTGAGGTAGGGCAGAGCTGCAGAGTGCCTGGGGAGGGAGGAAGGCAGGAAATGAGAAGGAATTTGAATGTAAATAATTCAGAGTCCAGGTCTGCTGGAAGTACAAACTCTCACTCGGTAAGGCCAGGTACAGGATTTAACAAAGCCAAACAGGCTGACCTGGACAGCTTGATACCAGACACTGGAAGAAGTAAGAAGAGGCAGAAGTACAAGCCCGGTGCACCCAGACTCGGCTGCTTTCGCCGATTCTGAGCTGCAGGGTTGATCCAAGCTCCTGTTTCCGATGCCTCGCTGCTCTGCAGCGCCAGCCCAAGGCAGTATCATTTGTAAAGCGCCATCTTCTTGCTCTGGTACATGTACATGTAGGCATCGCAGAAAAGGCGCTTGGCCACTCCATCCATGTCCCGAGGTTGCTCCAGGGCCAGCACAGCCAGTGGCAAGTCCAGGTATTTGGCAACTTCAGGGCACAGCGTTACCATGGGAATGTTGAAACCATTTTCATCACCTAACCCAGAAAAAAGGAGAAAAGTCCAAACCAGGTCCCCAAGGGAACATTACCTACAGCTCAAGCAGACACCATCACACTTGACAGTAACGTAGTGCCTTAGCTGAGAGATCTGGAGGCCAACAACAAAGCAGGGAAGGACAGGAGAATGGTCCTCGCCCACAGGGGCAAGGGGACACACAAGTCCCTTGTGTGAACACAGCCAGAGGATGAAAGCACTAGGAGGAATTCGCACACACTTGGCCTGGCAATGTTCTTCTCTGGGGTCTACTTAAATGGTTGCTGTTGGAAGCAGGGTCTAGAGAGAGCCTAAACCATGTAGGGGGCTTCAGAAGCAAAAGCAGACTGAGCAGCGCCTACGCAACGACCATTGCAGACCCTCATGGCTGCCCACAAAAGCTCCAAGCCCACCACCATTTCCTCACCATGCCTGTCAGCCATGCTGTCGAAGAACATCCAGTGTTCGTTCTCGGGGCCGTACTTCACAAAGGAGACGTAATGACTGGTCTCGATGCAGAGCACTGCAAAAAGCTCCATCTTCTCACGAGGGACCTGCTGGCTCCTCCGGGTGCTCCAGCTGTGAAACTCTTCTGGGACGTGCAGCCTGGTTGGCTTGTGCGTTTTGCGTCGGTAGTGGGAGTGAACCTGAGGAGAGATGAGGGGGTGGCAATGCTGAGTGGGCAGAAGTGAACCTGGCCTGCCAGAAAGAGGAGCCTGCAGGGGTCAGACCCCTGCCCCCAGTTTATTCCCCCACTGATCTGACTCCCATGGTCCCTGCATGCCAGGGAACAGTGTTGTGTCAACAGGCTGGCAGCAAGAAGCTGAGATGGGAGCCTGCCACCCTCCAAGAAAGGCCAGAAAGCTGTAGGAATGCTCCTGGTGAGACAGCATGGAGGGCCCAGCACTCAGTCTGTGCAGGATCAGTGCTTATTTAGGCTCTAGTTAAGCTGAGGGTTCAATAACGTGTGGCACCTAACCCTGCTCACGCAGCTGTTGCGGGCAGGGTGGGACTGATGCTCAGGAAGGGGCCGCTCTGTGCCCAACCTGAACAGCTGCAGGGACAGCAAGGGGAAAGGTGGGTATTTGGGGAGGTTCAATCTGCTGTCAGCCACCAAGAAAGACTTGGTGAGCAGCCAAAGGAAATAAATACCTGTCTGGAGCAGGAGCTGCAGAACTGCTTCAGGCCCGTAGCTGCGAATACTTTGTCTTTGAAACACTCTGAACACTCCAGGGTGGCAACGTTGCCGCACACGCAGCATTCCCTGGGACCTGCAGGGGTAACAAGATGTGTCTTCTCCAGGTGTCCACCTGAAATCCAACTTGTCCTACCAAAACTGGTGTTCAGGGAAGAATCATCATGCCATGATCCCACCTTACATCTGCTCACAAACCAAATCATAGAATCATAGAATCATTTAGATTGGAAAAGACCTTTAAGATCATCAAGTCCAACTGTTAAAAGAGGCAAGACCTTGCTCACAGTCCCAGCTGGCAGCTTTACCATTGCCCAACAACTTACTGTCAAGCAGCAGATCTGTTATATCCAGCTCCAAGGAAGGAATGATTTTGCTGAACATTTTATATTCCTTCCCAAAACGCGGCATTTGGATAATGAAGCAAGACGGGATCTGGGAAAAGAAAAGGCAAACGAGTCACTTAGATTGGAAAAGACCTTTAAGATCATCAAGTCCAACTGTTAAAAGAGGCAAGACCTTGCTCACAGTCCCAGCTGGCAGCTTTACCATTGCCCAACAACTTACTGTCAAGCAGCAGATCTGTTATATCCAGCTCCAAGGAAGGAATGATTTTGCTGAACATTTTATATTCCTTCCCAAAACGCGGCATTTGGATAATGAAGCAAGACGGGATCTGGGAAAAGAAAAGGCAAACGAGTCACCCTGCCAGAAGAGACAAGCCACGGAGGTTTTTCTAGCTATATTGCTGCTGGGAGTAAGGACTTCTGCTCCGGTTATTCACAAGACAAAAGGGCAACAGGGAAAGCATAGCCCTCATCCCAGGTCACGCTCAGATTCCCCAAGACCTCTCTCTCATGGCTGTACCCTGCTTCTTTGCAGTGTTGGATATAAGAGACACTAAACCCAGCGCAGGCTCACTGGCAGGCACAGGTAACGTTGGAGGAAGCAAGGAAGAGGCAGCGGATAGCAGCGTAGGCGGAAGGTAGCTGGGCT